ACAAGTCGAAGGTTCGCGTGTTTGTTGACAGTCAGTCCCGGCGGCGTCTTGGCGGAGGTACTTTCGTCGTGAAAAAAGGCTTCTGTGGCATTTAATACACCATGAGTTCCATCGGTACTGGGGTGAGTAGTGGGCGTGGGTGGTAGAGAGATGCTGGGAATAAATTTGTTGTCTGTTTGTCATGCTGGAGCGAGAAATAAGGGGTTGGGTTTTCATTCACTTTGTCTTGTTCGTAGGATATTTTTTTTTTTAATTGTGGGAAATTGTTGTTGATAGATATTTATTTTGAGGCGTCGACTGGCGTATACTTCCTGCAGGATTTAATAAAAAAAATCGTGTGGTTTAGAAATGATTAGTAGATTAAAATTGAAGTGTTTATTGAAGTGTTTGAATCTGTTCTCTAAACTCTCAATCGCGGAGACGAACAGCATGATATTTGTAATCGAATCATTTATTTACAAAGTCACTTTACGCACCCGAGACCAATTCCCTCGTGCACTAAGCAGCCAGAGAGACACTCCGAAGGTTTCCCAGACATTTTCCCCCGGACCCCCTCGGGCGCCGGGTGGCCCTGGGTGGAGCCTCGGCCGGAACCGCCACCTGCGAGTCATATTTTCTGTACCTGAAGTAGAGGAATGTATTAGGATTACTGTACCTTTTTTAAGAGTGACAATGTTTGATCATTACTCTGTGTTAAATGCACAAGGACAGTTATTGTAAGGTGATCACAGTAAGTGCTAATTGGGATCACTCTGCGATATCCTGGATAATCTGCACGAGTGAAGAGTAATCATTATAACGAAGAAAATAGGGTGCAAGGATGTCAGTAGAGATGGTATTTTAGTGATATTATGTATAATATTGTAGTTGTCAAATTCAAGAAGTTTACCATGTCATTCAGCTTTGTCCTTTACTGATGGGTTATGCCTACTGACAAACTGCTCGGTTTATGGGGAAAAGCTGTATGCTGCAGCTTAGCTATCCTAGATTTATTCATTTTATACTACTAACATTTAGATTGTGGCTAGCAAGACTCAAATCAGAGAAAATTTGACATAATTTTAGCTTATCTGTCAATTATTTCAGAGATTTGATGAATTACAATGGAAGTTTTAGATACATTTTTATATTCTGACAACACAAAGTTAGGGAGAATCTAAAGATGTAGTCACAAAGGTAGGGAAAAATACACACTGATAAATAAAATAATCAGGATAGACAAACAATAAGGTTAGAAAAAAAAAAAAAAAAAGTTGCAGCAAATGCTGCACAGAGAAAGTCCATGGTGATTGAGGGGAGGTTGGGGGGCAATGCTAAGTAAATACTGCAATGTTCATGGATTACCATGAAGTATCCCCAAGGTTGTTGATTGGAGTGTTAACCCAATGGTGACGGGTGAAGAAAACTAAACGAAAACTACGCTCTTGCGATCAATGGCAGCACACTGACCTTGAGCGTGGGAGTTCGGTACATCAGGCCGAATCACTGCCTCTCTCTCTTTGGCGCACCGCCGCGGAGTACAACCACACACCACATTTCAAGCGATTTGATTTCACGCCTATAGGCGTCACCCGTCGTGAAGGGGTTAAGGACTTGGTCTCAAAGGCTACAGCCACTTGATAAACCGCTACTGAGTTCTTTTGTATTGTAGCTTGATTGTATTTTTGTTTGGAAGTTCAAAGATATTGAAGGGAAATGATATATTTGTATTTCCCTAAATGAATATTGTCAAAAACAATGATTCCCATTGCAGTAATAAGAATTCCATGCATTTTTCTCGCTATATTAATTTCAAGGTTTTAGTAGGAAAATGTAAAATGACTAGGAACTATTGAATATAACAAAGACTATTAATGAAATGTAAACAGCAACAAGAAGTTACTGTTGTATTGAAAAAAAGATAATGATTTGTATTTTAGAATAGGCTGCTATGATTGTTTTAACCCCCCCTCCTCCTCCCATGTTCTATTCCTTTTCCCTCTTTCCCTCCCTTTGTGCTTTTTCCTCTTTCCCTGCCCCTAATGTTATACTTTTTGATTAATTAATTGACTGATCATTTTCTATTCAAGGAAATAAGTGATTTATTAAAGCATTTTTGTTTTTGATTCCAGTACGATCTTTCAGCCTCACAATTTTCGCCTGATGGCCGAGTGTTCCAAGTAGAGTATGCCCAAAAAGCAGTCGAGAACAGTGGGTGAGTGAGGAGTTATTTCCTGTGTTTGTTTTTTTAATGTTGTTCACTTGATTTTTGTATTTTGTTCTATATGAATACATATGTTGACAGAGTAATAGGTTATTAGGTAAAGGATAGAGAGATGGATAGGCAAATAGATTAATGAATCGCTGCTTACATGTATTCGTATATATTACATGGTTATATTTAGAAGAAGATTTAGACTAGTTTCAGAGAATTATTTGTAGTTATGCTGATGGTTGATTCTGACTTTTCCTGATATTTACACCCATAGAACTGCTGTTGGCTTACGCTGCAAAGACGGCGTTGTGTTTGCTGTAGAGAAGATCATTACCTCAAAACTGTATGAACCTGGGGCAAATAAGCGCATCTTCACTGTGGACACACATGCAGGAATTGTAAGATATTTTCTCATTTTGTTTTGGATCATATTTGGATGTGTAATGTATATTGGATCCTTTTATTATTGTTGAAAAGATGTTCTTAGATTATTATTGATAGGAGTAGCTTTTAAATTAGTCTACTGTTATTTTTATTTATTTTTACATCCAATCATTGGCTCTGCTTATATTATTAGACATACTTCTCATTTTGTTTTTCATTCTTTTTGCTCAGTATCTTATTTTTCTTCCATAGTTCCATTTACAAGTCGTTCCATCTACCACTGTCATCACTTAATCTCTCTGTTATCCCTCCATCAGGCCTGCGCTGGATTATTAGCTGATGCTCGTGCTATCGTTGATGTGGCCAGAATTGAAGCTTCTAATTACCGTGCCGAGTATGGAATGCCCATCCCTTGCATGGTGAGTTTGTGAACCTGCCAGCATTTGTTTGCAGGACAGAGGGAAATAATAGAAGTTGGATTAGGCAGGAGAAGGGATGTGATGAAAGGAGGGAACAATAAGAGAGTCTGAAAACTTGATGAATGAGTTTATTTTATTCATTGTCTGAATTGGTTGATGTTTTAAAATTTCTTTCAGTGTCCTGTAGTACATGGGTATGGGTACTTTGCTCTGTAGTAATTATACTGCAAGATTTGGTATTGGGTATAGATACTTTGCCCTTGAGTAAATATATTGTAAGGTTTGGTAATTTTGTCTCAAAAGGAGATCTTGAAAGGCCACGGTGAAGTGATTTGTATGAAATATTTACTCTTGATTAACATGAACCTCTCTCTCTCCTTGTAAACAAATTTTTAAAGGATTAGACCTTTGCAACTTGTTTAACTGAACTCTTAATGTTGCAGCTTTTGGCAGAGCGAGTGAGTACCTACCTTCATGCCTACACCCTCTACTCTGCTGTAAGACCATATGGCTGCTCTGTAATGATTGGTGCCTTTGATAAGGATGGACCACAGCTTTACCTCACAGATCCAGCTGGCATGTGTAATGTAAGTTTTTTTTTTTATATATTATGCCCATTATAAGTTTCCTTTATCATTATTATGCTCTTTATATTTTTCCTTTTTGTGATGAATCCTGATATTTGTATTATATAAAAAGAGGAATAACATAAGAAAAGGAGAAATTGTGTTCAAATAGGAGAACTTAATCTTGTCTTGTGAGCATGCATTTTTGTCTCCATATTATGATATACAAATAAGAAAATATTTTTGTAAAAAAAGAGGTACAAAGGTGTTTGAGAGATCAGCACATGTAGACAGGGTGTATCTGAGGATTTGTTGTGTACTTGTAAAGAGAGGTAAAGTATCTGGAAAATAGCAGAAAGGTAGCAAGCAATTGTACAATTTCATATAATGTTAAATGAAGTTAAAGATCTTACTAAAGCCAGTTATTGCTGTTTACAAGTATATTTTAAGAGGAAGAGATAGCAATTAAAAGGAGATTATAAAGAGAAATAAATTGTTTCAATAGGAGGCAGAAAAGATTTACCAGCTGGTATCTGAAAAAAGAAAAGGAGGATTGAGACCATACCATAGATGTACCTTATATAAGGGGAACATTCATGGTAGGAAAAATCAGTAAAATTTATGAAATTTCTATAAAAACAATTGTCTTCTGATTTTCTTCATATTTTTAACACTATTGATATTGCTGATTTTTGCTGAGTCTGTGCAGAAAAGTCTATTACCATCTTGTCATAAAGCAAAGCAAATGACAAATATAGATATTGGAAAATGGCTGAAAAGCTAAAAGCACTTATGCTGGAAAGACAAAATAACAATGCAAAGGGGTTAATAGAGGAAAAGCTGAAGAAATTATTTGGAAATGCATGGAGTGAGTCATTTTTTGGTTGCAGGTATTTGATCTTGGTTTTGCAAAATTTATCACAGTTACCCCTCACTTATGAGTGAAAATGGGGATAGATTACCAAGGATATGTGAGCAAAATATGTAAAATACTTTTTTGTTCTATAAAACAACAAAATATGCACTTAGAAGTATTGATAAGTGTATATAAATAGTAAAAAGACAACATAATACCAGGATGTAACTCTGTTTTGTAATAGTGTGTGTGAGGGTGGGTGGGTAGAACTATGGATTAGCTGGATGAAAGATGCCATTCAGTACCAGAATTACTACTTCGCACACGCTCTATTACACGAAGAAGATAGAATAGGGAAAACAGGACTCTGATTAACTCAAACATAGGAGGTGTAACAAGAGAATGAAGGTATGGTGGTAATATCGCATAAGTGGCTGAAGGAAGCTTGCCAAATGGTACCAGGTATGTCGTTTATAGTAGAAAAGTTATGTGAAAAAGTCCCACCGGCTTTTAACTGGTCTTTTGGGATCTTGGAGAGCAAGACGTTAGGGGCATATGGTATTCATTTGGACTGAAGTGGCTTTTATTTTATTTTCAGGGTTTCTTTGGATGTGCAGTAGGCAAGGCTAAGCAGAATGCGAAGACAGAAATCGAGAAGCTGAAACTCAAAGATTTAAGCTGTAAGGAATTAGTGAAAGAAGCTGCAAAAATGTAAGTTTTGTCCATTGCTTATGATCTTGTATAAAAAGAATTAAAATAGTGATATTTCATGAGATGTTTTCAAATGAGAACCCAGTTCACCATGAACTGGATTTACTGTAGGATGAATCTTAGGAAAAGTATGAATTAAAGTAAATGATTTCACACACAACTTTTGCATTATGGGCTATTTTTGCAATTGAAGCTGAATAATTCATCCTGATTCTAGAAATTATTAATTTTCATAAATAACACTTCATTTCTTCCTTCTCTCACTCTTTCTTTCTCTTCTGCTCTCTCTCTCTCTCTCTCTCTCTCTCTCTCTCTCTCTCTCCTCTCTCTCTCTCTCTCTCTCTCTCCTCTCTCTCTCTCTCTCTCTCTCTCTCTCTCTCTCTCCTCCCTCCTCTCCTCTCTCTCCTCTCTCTCTCCCTCTCCCTCTCCTCTCCCTCTCCCTCTCCCTCTCCCTCTCCCTCTCCCTCTCCCTCTCCCTCTCCCTCTCCCTCTCCCTCTCCCTCTCCCTCTCCCTCTCCCTCTCCCTCTCCCTCTCCCTCTCCCCCCCTCTCCCTCTCCCTCTCCCCCCCTCTCTCCCCCTCTCTCCTCTCTCTCCCTCTCTCTCTCCCTCTCTCTCTCCCTCTCTCTCTCTCTCTCCCTCTCCCTCTCCCTCTCCCTCTCCCTCTCCCTCTCCCTCTCCCTCTCCCTCTCCCTCTCCCTCTCCCTCTCCCTCTCCCTCTCCCCCCCTCTCTCCCTCCCTCCCTCGCTCTCCTTTCCTCTCCTCCTCCTTCCTCTCTTTCCCTCTCCTCCTCCTCTCTCTCTTTCCCTCTCCTCCTCCTCCCTCTCTTTCCCTCTCCTCCTCCTCCTCCCTCTCTTTCCCTCTCCTGCTCCTCCTCCCTCTCTTTCCCTCTCCTGCTCCTCCCTCTCTTTCCCTCTCCTGCTCCTCCCTCTCTTTCCCTCTCCTCCTCCTCCTCCCACTCTTTCCCTCTCCTCCTCCTCCTCCCACTCTTTCCCTCTCCTCCTCCTCCTCCCACTCTTTCCCTCTCCTCCTCCTCCCTCTCTTTCCCTCTCCTGCTCCTCCCTCTCTTTCCCTCTCCTCCTGCTCCTCCCTCTCTTTCCCTCTCCTCCTCCTCCTCCCACTCTTTCCCTCTCCTCCTCCTTCTCTTTCCCTCTCCTCCTCCCTCTCTTTCCCTCTCCTGTATCCCTCTCCAGTTTGATATATATATATATATATATATATTTATAAAGATTTAAAGAAGTCCAGATCTTTCATTTGTGTGGCACACCTGTTATTTGTCTTTATTTGACTCCTCCACCACAGCATCTACCTTGTCCATGATGAAGTAAAAGACCGTCACTTCGAGCTGGAGCTGTCTTGGGTGTGCAAAGAGTCCGGGGGCCGTCACCAGCGCGTGCCGAAGGACCTGTACGAGGAGGCAGAAAGATATGCCAAGGCAGCCCTGGTCGAGGACTCGTCAGACGAGGACGAGGAGATGTAGAGGCGAGTGAGTGGGACTTACTAGATGCAGAAGGAAGTCAAACAGATGGTGTATTTTTGCCTTCTTTTTTTTTTTTTCTCTTTTTGATTATTTGTGAAGACTTGGGTGATACCACACAAGATATCTGATAAGATAAGAGTCTTGGGTACGTAATTGTTTGGTCGTTGATGAAATAAACAGTTACTCCATACATGAAATATTTTGTATTAACACATCCCCCTTTTATAACAAAATCTTGTGAATTTGAAGATCGTTTTGAATGATATACCCTCATTGAATATGTCCTGCATTTGGGATCATAATCCTAGTGGAAGAGTGATCTGTCGAAATTAATAAACGGAATTGTTCAAAAATCACTCATTAATGGCATTTGATTTACTGGTTACATGAAATGAGATGTTTATATGGCCTATTGCTTTTCAAAAAGGATTGATATTTCAAACAGAGGGAATTCTACACTGGTTATAATGAAAGGGAGTCAGGTCATGCTAACATAAAACACTATTTTCTGTTTGTGTGAATGAATAAATTTAATGAGTATTAGTAATTTTTATTAACCTTTTTGAAAATGAGAAATGTATAAGTCCATCAAAGTTTTCATTTGTGATGTTATATTTTTCCACAGTCTATCATGACAAAGACATATATTCTGAGATTATTATTTTTTGTATTCATTTCATAATACTTAGAAAAAAAGGAGAATAACCAGAGATATTGAAGTTATTGTAGATTGGGATGGTACAAAGAGAGAATGATTAAATGCAAAAAAAAAAAAAAAAAAAAAAATTCAAGTAAATTAAATTCTCAAAAAATAAAAAGTTACAAGTGATTAAGGTAGAAAATACATTTACATAACCATATTACACAAGAGTTTTTAAATAGCGACGAGAATAACCACATAGATTTACCACCCCCCACATCCCTAGCTTGATGTCATGGGGGCTTAGGAGATGGGGACTGAGGCCCGATGTAGGGGGACCACCACTACCTTGGTCCTCAGCCCTTGCTTCTTCTAATTTTTACATGGTCTTTTCTTTTCCCCCTTTTCCTTTCCTTCCCTTCTTTACCCCCTTCTGTCCACTTATTCTAATTTTTAACATATTTTTACCGTTTACGCCACAATACTGCGTGCTATGTGACTTTTGATGTCTAGCACATTTGTTTTAACCATTAACCATATAAATTTACATAAAAGACTATACTGCTTTTACAATTTCATTATCTTTGCCAAATCTGTCCTGTTGGTGATTTGTGCCATGTACCTTTGTTCACACCTTGAGGGTTGTGTAACAATGTTTGAAATCTCAAATCCCAGTGCCAGTATACATTAGAATTTGTGGCATTAATGGGCTTTAGTTTCTTACGAACACCACACAGAATAGATCCACCTGTAAAAAGCAAAAGGAGGAAATAGTAAAAGAAAGAAAAAGAAACAAAAGAATGTGTGTGGGTGGGGGGGGTAGGGGTCAAGAACAAGAAAATCTAATGTCCTAAAAGTCAGTGTTGAGAAAGACACCTTTGAAAGTTCCTGCAACAACAATAATACTTTCTATCATTTTTTTTCTATTCCGTAATTGTAAAATCTGTTACCTTTATACTAAAAATGGCATAAAGGAAGGTACGGATTAGTAAAAGCGGCCAACCTGAAGCTTTCCATTACCATGTATTCAAAATGCAGTCGTGCAGCCATGCGTTACCAGAGTTGCCATTATTTTCAACAGAAGAGACTACCATCAGTTAGTTACATGTTACATATTCACCAATACCTTAAAACTAAAGAGGTATAAATTCCAGCATTACTGGAGGCACAAGATATCGAACTTCGAGGTATAAGATAAGGGTGAGGGAGATTAGGTCTGATCTCAGGGTGTGACTTCGTTTGTTGTGTTGAAAAAAAACAATGGTTGACAGCGTAAAATAATGTAGTGCAGAGTTAATAGTGTGTGTCTATTGAGTGATGTGTACTTGGATTTGAAAGAAGGCAACTTTTATGTAAGGAGTGGGGTGGTGTAGGGAGGACAATTGTTAATCTGTCACTAATCTGGCATACTTACTTTTTAATAGTAGCGAGGAGGTATTAGTGGTGGTGGGTGGAATTGCGAACTCATGGCTGTGCTGACGAGGGTTCGCGAAGACTTGGCGAGGCAGATGAGCGGTGGTTGCGGCGTAGTGTGCGGGAACATATCGTCAGCGACTTCTTCAGCAGGGTGGCCAACACGAAGTAGTAGGGTAGACATGGTGCGGGTAGGCGCGATCAGAAGAGGACTGGGTAGAGATGGCTGGGCGATAAGGAAGGCGAGGAAGCATTTCGAGAGGAGCAGCTTGTTGGTAGATAGCGTAGATCGGCGAATTAGTGTTGGCGTTGTGAGGTTCTTCCGCTGCCATCAGGATATGAACGATACGAGAGCTTGGGAGCATCGCTTTCAATAGAATATGAACGACACGAGAGATGGACTTGGGGCGGGTCAATGAATGGGGCCCTGTCTTGGGTTTATCGTTGAAGGTAAATATGAGAGCCGAGGAAGAGGTGGTGGAGCAGGACCTTGTGTGGGTTGGCCTGTCTGCCGCGTCTCTCCCTCTCTTTCGAACGTGTCCTTTTATGCGGCGGCTACCTTCGAGGGGACATGCTTGCTTCCGTGTGGACAGAGAAAACCGGGCGACATCTACGTCCGCCCAAGGAGGAAGGGCAGCTGCTGGGGCAGTGTGAAGTGTACCATCCGATCTTCCACCAATATAGACAAAATTACCCTTTCCGACCATATCAACCTCCCTCCCCGTAATGTCGGAATTGTTGGCGTTTAGGCCAGCCTGCCAGGCACTGCCGCTCCACAGCCCGATGCCCTTCATATGCCCAACCTGGTCAGGCTCGATCAAACTACTCAGCTTAGTCACGCACAGGTGTCAATTGTAGCGACTCCCATAATGTATTTTATAGTGGCTGCCCTATCTACAAATTTGAGACTGAGGTGGCAATTCTCAGATGCAAACTTAGCCTCACTTTACACGAGGCCAGACAGGAAGCACGCAGACGAGTTTTTTTCCCCCTTACTCCCTACTCCAGTACTACCCTTCATTCAGCCCCTTCCCCTTCCTCCCAAGATATTTCTACATCCACCTGTATCTGTTCCTCCATCTTACGTTTCCACTTCTACCCCCATCCTCTCACAATCAAATTATTTCACAGTTCTAAATCCAGACACCCCAGTCTCTACCACTGCCCTGACACCTACCCTCCTCCCTCCCGAAGCAGACAGCCTATACGTTCCTCCCCATCTCCTACCACACCCTCTCCTCCACCCACCTCATCCTCTACCCCTCAGACGCCCATCTCCTCTTCTACCCCTCACAAAAAAACCTTTGTTTCTCAGACCTCCCCAACCGGATGCACTTCAGAAACTCTGGAACTCTATAACTATATAATCGGGAACTATATAATCATGACTCAAGATAACAAGCCTACCCCTCATTTTTCCTCTACTCCCATTCCCTCTACACTCAAAGTAACTGCCGACATTCATCCTTCTACCCATGTCCCCCTACACCCCTTCCTCCCACTCCCCCCAACACATCCCATTCCCCCTGCTTCATCTTCACCCCCCCCCCTTCCTTCCCCATCATCCTTTCCGCTTCCCCTGGATATACATTTGACTTGTCACAACAGCCCCATTCCCTGAATTCTCTCCCTCTTGACATATTTCCTGAAACTGTGATCTAATTGCCCTTAAACCTCTCTCTCCTTGCCAACCTTTACCTTACCCTGCAGACATCGTTGCAAAATCCCATATTTCTGTTACCCATCCTCTCTACCCTTACCTCTCTTTGCCTCTTTTAATGTCATACTGTCCTGAACTACTATTCGAATTTTGACGTGTAGCACATTTAATCATCAACAACCCTCCCCCCCACACCTCTTTACCCTTTTAACTACTACTTTCATAGTGCTATATGACCTTTGATGTCTAGCACATTTATCATGCTTTGTAACCATTAACCATTTAATTTATCCAATGTGAATTTTAATTGGTTGTAATACCCTGCCTAGAACTTCGCTGAATATGGCTTCTGTTGAGTCAGGTAGTCTTTATTAAACAAGAATAATTTTTTTTTGTGTCCTTTTTCAATACCCATAGTACTATGTCTCTCGAGGATTCTATTATTGTGCCCGTTTTTGCCGCTTAATCTTATCCGATGAAAACATCGACTCCTCCGCATTTCTCCGTCTTTTATGTCTTCGTCCAAATTAGTTTCCGTGAGCGCTACCATTGGATAGGTTTTTTGCTAGGTCCTTTAAGTATATTACTTTTGTCTAATTTGCTGTTGGATATAAGCTTTGCATATGTAGTAGTATGGACGATTCGAATACGACATTTCTCTTGATTTCTAATATTTACTTGATTTCCCTCCCTCCCTCGCTTTCCCTTCCTAGCTCCGCTCCTTCCCTCTCCCTCTCATCTTTCCCTTTCCCTCCCTCCTCCCTTTCCCACTCTCCCTCTGCCTCCTTCTCCCTCTCTTCCCTCTTCCCTCCCTCCCCCTCATCCTCCCTCCCTTCACTCCCCCCTCCCCCTCCTTCCCTCCCTCCGTCGCCCCATTTCAAAAGATCTGAATCGTCTCTCGTTGCGTTTTTTTTTTCTCACTCGCTTTTTCACTCGCATAGGCATGTCTGCTATCGATGTATGTCAGTGATATTTTTTCTTATTTTCTTTTATTTGATTTACCAAACTCTTTAATGTCTGTCTTTGTGGTCTGGGTTAAGGGTTTTTGTTCACATGACTCTCAGTTTTAGTTTCCTTGTGCTTTGTTTTCTTTTGTTATTAGTTGCCATTTTTGTTTTTTATTTTGTAGTTTAACCCTAAATGTAACGGTTTCAATCCAGTTGTAAACTAGTTATATCTCTGATTATTTTCATATCATTTGGTTTGTGTCTTATCAATTAATTTACCTCCCCCCTCTCTCTCTCCCCGCCCCCCCCAAAAAAAGAAAGAAAGAAAGAAAAAAAAGACTACGAGGCGAGAAATAAATCTGAAAAAGGACACATCTGATGAGCAAAAGCATGGACTTAATACCGTCATAAAGGGATACAACAACTCTAATCCTATACAGTTTTTTTTCCCGTGGTATTCGGGTTTCATGAAAATCCCCCGAAGAAAAAGAAAACCCGAAGAGAGAGAGAGAGAGAGAGAGAGAGAGAGAGAGAGAG